TGGATTAGGAAAAAAGATGATGATTTTTAAGTGGAACTTAGAGGGCCATTCTAGTAGGAACATAAAATATGGTGCTGAGAGTCATGCAAATTATAATGGCCCAGCTCAAAATGTTTCAGAGGAGAAGAACAATAGTAAGTGGCATAGAGAACTGTTGTTGTGATACTTTAATGGAAAAACATGTCTGCTTTTTTGCCCTTGTCCAAAAAAATCTGCTGGAGGAAAAATTAAAGGCTTTGGATTAATGGTGTTGGCAGAGGAGATTTCAAGACAACTTATTACTGACTGTGTTGTATGATTAATTAGGAATCTGTTAAGCAGTTCTATTATAAAAAAGCAGCAAGCTGAGCAAGGAAACACAAATGTGAAGTTTGAGGAGAAAGAGATCACCAAGAAGTCTAATGGAGCTAAGTCTAGTGCTCAATGATATAAAAGGTTTAAAGAAAAGTCTGATTCCAAATAGAGTAAAGAGAGTGGTAATCTCAGGGAAAGTTGTCATCTAATGAAGCTCCCAGTTTTTGAAAAGGAATCAAAGAAAAGGTAAATAAGTGAAGAAAATGAACCACAGGAAGCTGATGCAGATATAACTTAACAAGAGGGCAAGTTCCAAACCCAGCAATCAATAAAACTTTGCTATTTCAGCCACATGGTTCTGTCTTTAGAGCCAAGGATACAAGAAAGGGGATGTGAGATCTCCCTCTGTGGCTAAAATATGACACTGAGACCAGACATGTGTCACAAGGAGTACCTGCATAGAAACCTAGAGAGGCCATTGTATGAAGCCATGAAGGTGAAGCTTGGGTTGCACTGGAGACCCCAAGGTGTTGGAGATGCCAGAGTCATGGGATAAATGCCAAGCAGATCATCAGACAGGATGTGGAACCAGCCCAAGAGAGAGAATTATGTTGCAGTCAACAAGGCTGAAAATAGTTGGATACCTGAAGAGCACTTTGGCATCAGACATACAGATGTGGTGGTTAGAGTTTGCCACACTGATGTCAGGGGCTATTTGTTCAAGTGTTTTCTTACTGGGGTCCCTTTTCTCCATTTTGGAATAGTAATATATATTCTGTACCACTGTATATTGGAAGTCTGTGATATGCTTTTTGATTCTGATTTTACATGCGGTGACAGAATGAGGTTTTCTTGAATCTTAGAAAAGACTGTATTTTGGACTTTTAAGTTTTGGACTATAATAGAATTTGGACTTTTAAAGTTGGACTAAATGCATTTTTTCATTATGATATGGGTATAAGTCTATGGGGCCAAAGAGTGGAATGTGGAGATATGAATAGAATCGTCCCCAATAGGTTCATATCTTTAAAGTGATAGTGATCAGGAAGTATTACTACTTAAGAGGGAATAGGAGGCGTGGCCATGTTGGACTGAACTGGCGCTGTTACAGGAAGTGTGTTACGGGGGGTGGACTTTGAGATTTCAAGGCCCTGGCCAGCCCAGTGACTTTTCTTCTTGAAATCTCAGGTACTTCTCCAACACCACGTATGCCATCATGCCACCAAAATTCCCTGTCCTGATGACAACATACTAAACTTCTGAAACATTAAGCCAGCTCTTATCAAAAGTTTTCCTTTATAAGAGTTTAAACTGTCCTGGTGTCTCTTCATAAGCATAGCATTCTGACTAAGGTATCAGGTTATCCATTTTTAATGATCAACCTATGATAAGCAAAGAAAATAATTAAAATGAAGTTGCACTTTAAAACAAAAAGCATGGGGGCGCATGCCTTTAATCCGAGCAGTGGGGAGGCAGAGACAGGTAGATCTCTGTGAGTTTGACGCCAGCCTGGTCTACAAAGCTAGTTCCAGGACAGCCTCCAAAACAATACAAAGAAACCCTGTCTCGAAAAAGTAAAAAATAAAAAAGATGGAAACTGGAATGTTGTTACCCTTATACTTCCATAACCAGTATGGGGCATCAAGTCCATACGGTGGAGTTGCGGTTTCTGGCTTTATTTAACTACTGTTTCTTCAAATCATCCATGAGCATGTTAAACCTCAGTGATACTCTTAACCTGTGACTAAGATTGCAAAATGATAAAAGAGCATGGTTTATCCAAAGCATTTTACTTAAATTTAAAAATGGTTTGCCATCATGTGGCATAAGATTAACTGTTGGCTTCATTTTTTTAAGAGCAGTTGATGGGTCAATACTATTTAGTACACAGTGTAAAGAGTACTTTCTTATTAAAGCTGACTAAAGAAACAGAGGCTCCAGGCAAATGAAGTCATGTATCAAGGAGAGCTTTTATAAGGAAATGATTCATATCCAGGTCAAATTTAACAAACAGCACATAATTTTGGAGTCTGATTTTCTATCTTCTTTGCATATTTGAAAATAAGTGTACACGGTATTGGGTTACATACTAATTCAAAAAGTTATTCATGGTTCAAGAGGCTATGTCATTTAACTGAGTAATTTTCAAATGGAGACAACTATAGCATCACAAATTCCTCATTAGCACAAATGAGAGTGAGTGAGCAAGAATGTAAATATAAGGTTGAACAGATTATTATCTCATTCTAAGTAAAAATCCTGCCATCACATTATTTTTAAACAATCACCAACATGTTTAAACGATAATTGCATCCACTCAATGAGCACAGTTCCTTATTATTGGAATTGGCAGGGGGCCCTGACATTTGAGTCATCATCTCATTATATCTATTTCTTATCCTGGTACACAAATTAAGCAAAAACCCAACATCAGTGAAATTTGGGAGAAGGCTGAGCATTAACCTTAAATTGCAGGTTTTTTCCCTTAAATATGTAGGATATATAAAGAATTAACATATTTAATATTATATTCTTATTAAGGCAACTTTTGAAAGGCTAGCTATTATTTTAAGGCCAAAAATTATTCAAAATCTGAAGACAAATGTTGAAGCTTTACAAAACAAAACTGACAGTTTCAATATTCTCTAAATGAAAAGCCACTACAGCTGGGTGGTGGCAGTGCATTCCTTTAATCCTAGCACTCAGGAGACAAGGGCAAGCAGATCTCTGTTAGTTTGAGACCAGCTTGATCTAAAGAGCAAGTTCCAGGACTGCGACAAGTACACACAGAAACTCTACCTCAAAAAGACAAAAGCAGATAAATAAAAAGGGCTATCAATGTAGTAAAAAATACTCATTTGACAAGTTTCTCCCATGCTGAAAAGGATCCAGAATGCACAGTGATTGTCTAACATATAGCATACATCTTAAAATATTAATAGAATTCCTTTAAGTGATCAAATAGGACAAATAATACAAGTGAGTTTTAAACTGAAATATTGAAATGTGCCAAGTGGGAACCCAAGTCTACACTCAAGTGATTTCAAATCACTGGATTTGCATGTCAAAATTTTTACTGGTGAATTCTCTAGATCACTTGATTTAGCCTTTGAAATGGATGTACATTGTTCTACCATTCTCAAATATCTTGTTTTCAATTCTTCTATTAACTCCAAGATTATAAAATTAATAAATCATAAAACTCTTTAATGGCTCATCAGTTATGGTTCCCAGAAACCATTTCTTCTTTCACTTATCATTGAAGACACTTCGTAATGTGAATGATGTTAAGTTTCAAACCCAGAATAAATGGTAGAGGTGTGTATTTAACAGATTAAAGCTGGATTTGGCATGACTTCTCCCACCATCCCTCACATCCCTACCTATTGCAAAGTATGTCTCACATACCCTACCCTCTATCCTGAACTCCCCAGCCCAAGGGCTATGCTACCCTTCCCCCCAAGGCTTTTCCCTATATAATACACACAGTTTGGTTACTTGCCCTCTTTTGGAACTATGACCTCTTGAGGCCTGCACCTGATCCTACTCTTTCCCCTCTCTTTGCCCCCCCCCATTGGTTCAGCTCAGTGTGGTCATGTCTGGTTTGGGCTCTCTCAGAAGGCCCTGACTCTGCTTATGCTCTCCCATATATCAATTATAAACTTTCTTCTCTGCCACACCTAGGAACAGTCATGAGCTTTCCCTCTATTTTTATTTCTAGAGTTGTTCAGTTATATTATGAATTTATTTAAATTTTTGGTGCTTCAGCCATTTTTTCCCTTGTTCCTTCTAAAAATCAGCAGCTTCTCAAATCACTTACTGTTATGGTAAAGTGTGTGGGAGAACTTGGTGGATTCCCATGGTGGAAAGGATTACTGAGGCAGGAGACAAACATTCCAGGCAGACAGGGGTTAAGTGAGAAGTTTTATTAGAAAGGGGAGCAAGAAAGAAAGGGAAAAGTAGTAAAGACACAGAGACACAGAGACAGGGAGAAGACAAGAATGGGGAGGCAGGAGAAGTCATATCTGCCCAAGGGGAACAGTGGGAAATAACTCAAGTGGGAAAGTGTCTTTCTTGTAAAGGGATCCATTGCACCTGCCTGAAAACTACACAACCTTGGAAGCCTGGGCTGACATGGGTGCATTCTGCCAGGTGACAGGGGCAGGGCAACACAATGCCTGAATCTTTACGTTTAGAATCCAGAGGAATAGCCTAAAATTTGAATACTAAAATTTAGTTAGTCCATATCCAACATTGGGAGAACACATTTTTTTCTTTCTTTTTGGACACACATGGCATAAATGGAGTGTTCCAAGACTGTGAAATTTAAGAGACAATCAAAATACAGCAGGTTATTCTCTTTGTTAAAGATTTCTCTCACTGTTTGATTTTTCCATGGAAACATTCATGAATCTATAATGTTAGACTTTTATTGAGTCCTATCATTTTGTAATTTTTGTGGCTGTTATTAATAAGTGTCTTCTTTTTATGTGCTGAAATAAATTAACAAATGAGGCAGAAACTATATAAAAGGCCTGGGAATACAGCCAAATCTTTCTACATGCATCCAGAGACCGCTAATCTTCTGAATGACACTTAAAGCTCTCTTGCTTAAATAATTACAACTACAGCCAGCATGTAATTTATTGAAATAATTACCCATTCTACTAGATCCCATAATTCATCTGGAATCTATGGCTACTTACCTTGTCTTTGTTCTCAGTACCAGAAGCTTCAGGCTTGGTCCTTATCACAAATGGAGTGGACAGTCGCAGCAAAACCCTTTCAAATGTGGCATTAACCTTTGGAGAGACTATCTCAAAGCAGTCCTCAAACTTCAGCACTTTGTGAGTGTCGCATCGAAGCTGCTTTCTTAGGCCCTCCCCAAGCTGAAGAACAGCCATGGTGGGGTCAAACATCAAATGGAATGGGAAGGCTCGGCAGAAAGTGTTGATGCTGATTCTGAGATCTGCAGGAACTTGGGAAGTACCCTGTGGAATATTCTTTGTGATGTTCAGAGTTTCACATTCTTTGATAAGAAAAGAAATACAGTTGCAGTTGCTTGGGTTTGAGTCATCGGAGCACAACTTTTCATTTTCAATTTGTTCCACTTCCACATTCAAACGATAGATTCTCTTTCCTGCAGCCTTAATCATTCCCAGCATCGCCAGCCCCACAGTATGGTGAGGGTGGAAGTAGTGAAGCAGGAGAGTACCTTCAGGGAGCTCTTTGCATAGGAAAGATGGGGACTCCAGAGTGGCCTGTTTCCCAAAAGAAGTTCTAATGTGTTCCAACAATGCATCAAAGCCATTGAAGAAGTCCTGCAATGTACCACCCACAGCTCGGAGGACTCTCTCATTCTCATCAAAGCATATCTTAAAGAATTCCTCACCAAATCTTTCCTGAATTTCCTGGAACTTCAGACCTAAAGGTAAAGGAGAATAAAAGTGTTAGTAACATGGACTAAAAGGCATGGAATATATAGCTTTCAACATGCTTATCTAAAGCAGAAGCAATTGAGAATTGGAGAGATGGCTTACTGGTTAAGAGCATGAAATACTCCCAAAGAGAATCTGAATTCAGTCCCCAGCATCTACATCATGTGGCTTAGAACTGCGTCCAAGTTTAGATTCAAGAGAACACAATTACTGGCCTTGTGGCCTCATGCACATGGCTATACACAGGCATACACATATACACATAATTGAAAATAAATATTTTTAACACAGTAGGCAGCGCATCAGTCTCATAAAAATAAATATTTTTAAAGGAAGTAGTGTAGGGACCACACCCTCACCCAGTCCCCTGCTTTTATAGTTATGAAAGGCTTCAGAAAAGAACCAGCAAGATGTAGGCCTCTGATTCAGCCACATGTGCTAAGCTTCCTGAACGTGCTCAAATTCTAGTCACCAGGAGGTCAGTTACACTCCATGTGTCAAGGAATCAATCAGAAGTTAGCTGGAGGGCTCTGGATGTGCTTTACTGTAACCATGGCAAACAGAGGACAATAAACGCTATGGCAGGGCCTATAGCCCATAGCAACCAATTGACCAATCAAGAAAGGACAGGTCACCAAAGCCCGGAAGTGCACCAATCCTGAGACTGTTGTGGAGCCCAGACACTCTCATTGCTCTATACCAATAAATTCCCTTCCCTGCTGGTAACTACAGGTCATTCTCACTCCACCCACTGTGTTGGATTGACAGAAGACCTGAGTTAATAAAGTTAATTTTATTATTTTTTTTTTTTGGTTTTTACGAGACAGGGTTTCTCTGTATTGTTTTGGAGGCTGTCGGTCCAGCCCAGCCTCGAACTCACAGAGATCCGCCTGCCTCTGCCTCCCGAGTGCTGGGAGAAACCTTTTGCATCAGAAAGTCGGCTCCTTGGTTGTCTATTTAGGGTCTCTCAAACTTGAAATAACAGTAACAAGTGAAAAAAGGAAATGACATTTTTTTCCCTGAGGTCCCAAATTTCCTATGTAAGTTTCTTTTACATTAGAGAATTATTTTTAAATTAATTTCTATGCTTCTAAGATGTTAGGGGAAATTTGTTTGTTATTTTAAAATTTTGAGAAATGGTATTATCCAAAGAAAAACAGAGTCACAATATGGCATCTCCTTTAACTTTGACTGAAATTAATACCTATGGTCATTTCTTATACAGTCTATCCATCTAATAAGGAATTCTGAAAATAAAACAGAACTGAAACACATTTTATTTTGTAAGAAAAGTAAATTTATTTTGGCTTATAGCTTGGAAGGTTATTTCCATCATGACTGGAACGGAGAAGAGGAACAGCAACGAGAACTGAGAGTTTGAGTGCTGTGTTCAGACCCCTTCTTCCTTTTTATTTGGTCTATGGACCAACTCATGGAATAGTGTCACCCACATTCAAGATAGCTCTTCCATCCTTAGTTAACCTGCTCCCACCCTCATAGGTGTGGCCATAGACTTGTCTCTTTGGTGACTCTAGATTTAGATTTATTTCAAGTTGACAATCAATATTAATTACACAATTTTTCAGTTTAGATTTTCCTTTGTTGTTGGTTTCAATGTCTCCTGTATACTCAGCCACTCTGAGAGGAAATCTGGACATATCATATATCAATACATAGCCTGAGGAATATTCCTAAACAAAGTTTCACACACTATAAAGTTAATTTTTTTCTTGCCCTTGCCCTTTCATTTTAGAAAAATCCAGAAGGATTGCCTTCCAAAATCTCATCCCTTTCCTAATACCCTGTTAGAGTGCATATAATCCATGCAGTGTAACGGTTAATTTGCTGTCCTTACCTCTATCACACTAGGGATGTTCCTTCCCTCGGGAAGAGAAGAAACAGAGCAGTCAACATTATTTTTCTATTCATCCTAAACACATCAAATAGTTTAATACATTTTTATAGTGTTCACACACACATATAAATACACACACATATATATATACATATATATATATATATATATATATATATATATATAGAGAGAGAGAGAGAGAGAGAGAGAGGGAGGGAGGGAGGGAGAGCGCTAAGGCTTATTAGGGCCAATAAGAGGTTTCTCTCAACATTTTCTTGACTACATTCAGTTATATTAAAATGGAAGAAGAAGTCTGGCACTTTTGGCAGAGAGAGTCCAATGGTGGAAGCAACAGCTGAGCAGTTGGCAAGTAACACCATAGACATCTGAAGAAGAATCAGATGAACAGTTGGAGAATAGTCAGGAAAGGAAGGACAGGAGACTGCAAGCAAGAGTGGAAATTTGGAGCTAAAGAAGGATAAAAGGACATAAGGTTCCAGAGAAGAAAAGTAAAGAACTTGAATGCCAGATGAGTTCCAGGGAGCTGTCAATTATTTAGGACCAAGAGTCTTAGAACTGTGGCACTCACTGGTATTAAGAGTTGTGAAATCTTGACTTCCTAAGCAGACCCATAAGATGTAATGCTTGTAGGGCTAAGGGTTCCTATCAACACTGTCTGTGTCTGCCCACTGCCTCACCTCACTGCTGCCAAAGACCTGCATTTCAAGAGATTTTATCTACTCATGATTTCTATCTAGACAGAGCAAATGCTGGTCAATGGCTAGCACCTATATCATCAGAATGAATAAATAAGAAAATTGAGTGTGCACAAATTACAGAATTGCTCACCTTCATGATAGTATTCATCATTACTATGAAATGTTCTGTTGCTCACATTCATATATACAGAATAAACAGTCCTATATTCTGGTTATCTTTTATATGTACCTCCTATATTCCATGGAGTGATTCTAGGCTTTGAAGAAAAATGTCCGAAAACTTCAGATCTTTGAACAAAGAACAGAAAAATGATTGCTTCTAACTGGCAATACAGTATAATCATGGATGCCCTATCATTAGTGCCAGACCTTAAATATCCATCAAACAATAACCAGTAAATAAATATTCCATAGGCAAACAAATGAAAACTACTGTGGGTATAGGTCATTATCAATAAATAATCTTTGCTGCTTAAAAAAGTACCTCTGTACCCGAAAGCACAATGACTATCTGTCTCCAAATAATCTCACTCGGGCACACAGCATGATATTAACGTTACTTTCTTTTTATTAAAGAAAAACTGAGTTGCTTTGAATAGTGTGCTGTGATGGCAATTCTCTACAAATTATTGTATTTACTTAATTGCAAAGAATTTTATCCCCATAATCATTAAATGAACAAGATCAGGAAAGAATAATTCTTAGAGTGAAAAATTAAAACTAATGATCAGTTCATTTCTGCACATATGTTATGAATAAAAAATAAAGGTGCTCTTACATACGTTATCTCAAAACTCAGAAGGCACAGAGAAAAGTGGTTCAGTTCAAACAAGGACTGCAGTCCTAATTCCCAGCATTCTACCTGCACTTGATGCAAACCCTTATTTGCAGTAAATCACTTGAAAAAAATAGACAATACTTACCTTCAAATATCACAAGATCAGAATGACATTTATGGTTATGAGAATACATTTTTGACAAGAAACAGAATTATACTGAAATTGATTTCATTAATGAGTAAATGGAAAGATGGAATTATTTTTTAAAATCACTATTATTTCACCTCTTCTAAAAAATGATTTGCCAAAATACTGGAATCCTTTAGCTGTAAGTGAATTAGCAGTAAGTGAAATAGTCAATGTTTCTTTCATGAAATAATACTGTGGTCTATGTTTATTAAGCCAGCTCCACTTACCTGTGAATAGCTTATAGAGAATGTGTTTTATTTTTTGGTTCATTCATGGTTATCACCAGCAAAATGCCTGGCACATGGAGACTGTCTTTCTTTCATAGCATTCATCCTCATTGTACAAATATTATCAATCTTTCCAGTTTACAGTTATGTCATATATAAGGATGTTAGAACCAATAGACATCCTCTCTCATTGGGCCTCTCATTACATTACCTTGTGACTACACTATCACAGAAGGACATAGAGCTACCTTAGGAGGTACAAAATATTAATTTCTACTTTTCTTGGGGGACTGTTTGAAGAAAATGAGGTGTTCAAAAAAACCAGCCAAGGGAAGTAAGTGTCTCCCTTCCCCACAAGATGAATTATAATGGATAAATGGGGAAGAAGATAGGATTGCCTAACAGGTAGTGAATAAGAGCAGGTAGTGAATGGAAAATAGCTGGAAAGCAAAAGTGAAGTGTACATAATTAATTAATCAACAATGAAAAAGATAGACTTGATAATGTTAAGTCCAGAATTAAGAACATCAACCAGATTATGTGATTAAAACAGGAATATATAAAAAATACTTGAGAACAAAAGAAAACCAAAATATATACATGCCTATGTTATATGTAGAAAATCATAAAATTTGCTCAATTCCTTAGCACAAATAGTATACCTTTCAGAATGATTTTCTATACAATATTTTTAAATAGCAAGAAACATTAGTAATCAAATTTTCAAATAATAAAAACTGTATGAGAATTATTCACCTACCCCTGACTTTCCATTAGCCTTACTACTAAGTGATTTTAGGTCACCACTGGTGTCCAGCACAGAGACAGTCCTCCAGCCCCTTTACTGACATTTCAGCATTTTCCCAATCATTATTTAATCCACTCTGCATATGCTCTTCACAAACCATAAATTCCAATGACTATCATTGTCTTCAATATGAAGCCCAAACTCAGGAACTCAGCACTCATGTGACCCACTTTGACATATTCTTATCTCCTGAAGCTCTTCCTCCATTATGAGACTTCTAAAAAATACTCAATACTCTCCTATGTTTATAGGCTGCTGAACATGTTGGATTTGCATTACATTTATTTTGCTTAAATAGAGGTCTGTTATACTGCCTACCCTGCTAAACTAATTATATGTTTTCCTTCATCTTATCTACTTTATATCTAAATTCTGCCAGATGCTTTTGGGGGCCTTTCTTGTTTGAGACA